CATACATACATACATGCATACATACATACATACATACATACATACATACATACATACATACATACATACATACATACATACATACATACATACATACATACATACATACATACATACATACATACATACATACATACATACATACATACATACATACATACATACATACATACATACATACATACATGGAATACATCGTCGCGTTCGACGAATTGTGTCATTGATGCGAGAACAAGCCTGTTCTTGATGAACATCGACGACCACAGGATCCGCAAACCCACACCCCTGTGCTGTTACCATTCCGGGCCACCTGCTTACGCCGTTCTCTTTTTCCAACTAGAGCTGCAATGCGCGCCTCCTCAAAGGCGGAAACTGCCGCTTGTGAGCGTGTCTTCCACTGTGAACGCTCGAGCGCAACGACACCCAAGGTTTTAGAATCCAGTCAGACTTTTTTTAGGTTTTCCTTCAGATTGTCTTTAAATCTGCAAACTAGACTGCTTGCAATGCGAACTCCAGAAGCCAGCTGTCCGAAAAACACCTGCTTGGGAATTCTTGTGTCTGGCATGCGGATAACGTGTCTCGCCCAACGAAACTGTGCCTGTAACAAAAATGCCTCGATACCCAAGATACCACACATTTCCAATACAGTCGTATTTGGCACCCTATCCTCCCATTTAACGTTAGCGATAACCCGTAGACATTTCATATGAAACTGATCGAGTCTACGTATATGGCGCCTATAGATAATCTATGTCTCACATCCATACAACATTGTGGTTAACACAACTGCCTTATAGACAGATATTTTAGTAGCCAGCGACACATCCCGTTCCTTCTAGAGTCGTCCACTCAAACCACCAAAAGCAGTACCAGCCTTGGCAATCTTAACCGTAATTTTATCATCGATTGCAGTAGTGTTGGAGAGGTATCTACCAAGGTAACAAAATCGATCCACAGCGTTCAACTGCGAGCCACCAATAGTTACGATGGCTTTAGAATCCGACGAAATAGGATAGCTTTGGTGCAGAACCTCTGTTTTCTTCCTGCTCACTGTGAGTCCAAACCTTTCTGCAGTAGTGTAGAAACAGTTAAACAGAGCCTGAACTTCACTTTGTGTATGTGCAACCAAAGCGCAGTCATCCGCAAAGAGCAGGTCGCGAACTATTGTGGTTTGTGTTTTTGACTTCGTCTGTAGGCGTCTGATGTTGAAAACGTCTCCATCCATGCGATAGCAGATTGGAATGCCCTCTACACAATGTTGAAAGGCGACTCGAAGCATTAGGGAGAAGTAAATGTTGAACAGCAAGGGAGCCATGACACATCCCTGCTTGGTACCATTCGTCACCTCAAAGTCCGGGGATCGATCACCATTTTCAACTACGGTTGCCCTCATGCCTTCATGGAAGGAGTGAATAATCGACACTAAAATCGGAGGACAACCGATCTTTTTGAGACATTTCCATAACGCTGAACGGTTGACGGAATCGAACGCCTTTGTTAAATCTATGAAGACGAAGAAAAGTTCGCGTTGTTGCTCACGACATTTTTCTTGAAGTTGTCTGGCAGTAAAAATCATATCCATAGTACCACGACCAGCCCGAAAGCCACACTGAACCTCTGGAAAGATACCAACATCATTTACGTACTTGGTTAGGCGGTTGACGATCACGCGGGCCAATATTTTTCCAGAAATCGATAGCAGAGAAATGCCTCTGTGATCATCACAGCATGAACGATTTCCTTTTCGTTTGAATATGTGAATGATAAGGGCATCCTTAAAATCTTGAGGAACCGATTTCCTATCCCACGTGTCTTGGAACATTGTCACCATCCTGGTTTTAAGTTCGATGACACCACATTTGAAGAGTTCTGCCGGCAGCCCGTCCAAACCCGGAGCTTTTCCATTCGACATTTGGGTGATTGCTTTTTCCACTTCAGACAGGCTAGGGGGATCATCGAGATCACCTGCAATGCTCCAGTCAGACAACTCAGCAAGGACTGAGTCATCAAACCGGAATTCTTGATTTAGCACACTGTTGAAGTGTTCAGCCCAACGAGCCAGGATTCTATGGCCATCCTTGATGAGTGTTTAACCATCTTTAGACAGTACCGGGACACTACCGGAGCTGCGGGGACCAAACACAGTTTTCAGATTTCTGTAACTTTTCTTTTGACCGCATAGTAGGATATCCAGTCAGCCGCGGTAGGCTGACAAGGTCGGCAACATATTGGCTAGCTTTTTTTAGGACAGATTTGTAGTCCCCTCTCCGGTTGGAGAAAGCAGTGCATCCCTGAATAGGGCTGCTTTGTCACCCTGGCAGGATGCGAAAATTGCTGTAGCCATCAGCAACAAACGACCATCACACCAAGGCCGCCTGTGTGTTGTGTTGTGACTAGACACTGCCAGTAGTACCCTCTACCTGTGCCCGTCGCCACTCGCCAATCGCCGCAGGACTTTGTTTGCACATCCATTCAAGCATCAGACCACCAAGACCACCTTCACACTGGTTGATTTAAGTGGAGCATGTTTGTGCGGCATGCTACACTCTTTCCTCCACAGGGGTCGGTATCAGCAGGCACAACAAGTTGAGACACGCCGAGCGACCAGTGTGGACGCAGAAGTTTGGATGAAACTGCGGTGCAGTTTTATCCTCGTAGCCAACTATCCTGGCTAGATTTTTAACTGGGTTTACTCCCAGGCCTTTCCCAAGCGTGGGTATAGCTGCAAGGCTGCAGAGGTTTGAAATCAGAGTTTTCCTTCTCCTAGATGGTATTTCCTTACGAGCGCCATTCGCCCGGAACCTGGTTTAGGCGCCAGTAACTTGCCTTCGCCCTCTCCTGTTAGTTAGTAGCAGCCCCCGCCACGTGCAGGAAGGAGTAGGACTTCGATGGTCGTAGCGCGCACGCTACAAGCCTTTGGTGGCATTTTGTAGAACTGGGGAGTTCAGCCCCCAGATCACCACCGGCAAACCATCGCGTTTGGGGGCCACATACATACATACATACATACATACATACATACATACATACATACATACATACATACATACATACATACATACATACATACATACATACATACATATATACATACATACATACATACATACATACATAATACGTATTCAGTCATCTGAAGGTGTACATGGTGACCCATTCGGACCTTTGCTATTTGCGCTAACTTTGCATCCTTGTGGCTATTTGGACGACATAAGCATAGCTTGTGGTTCCGATTGACTAGCTAAAAATTAAACTTTTGTTAAAAACCAGAGCTTCCAGCATCGGTTTGGAATTAAATACAAAAAAGTGCGAATTCTTTTTTAAAGATTTCTTTGATATGCCTCCTAGCCTTGCTGAGGTTCCTATTGTTCCAAGTTCGTTGCTCAGCTTTTTGGGTGCTTCAGTTTTAGGGGACTCTCAAAATTCATTTTCTGTTCTAAACTCCAACAGTTGTTATTTGCCTTGAATAGACTAACTCAAATCTCTGCTCATGACGCCGTAACTATAGTTTGCAATACGATCAGCATCCCAAAATTAATTTATTTTTTGCACACTTCCACTTTTACAAATTTAATTCCTTTGAGAGATTTTGGCAACGCTTTGCAAAAGAGTTTTTCAGCCATCTGCAATGTTGAGTTGTCTGAAAATGGCTGGTTACAGGCTCAACTTCTCGTGAAATTTGGCGGCCTGGGTTTTACAAGTGTAGTCCAGCTAATACCTATTGCATACAAGTCTTTTGCTGCTGCTACACCTGACTTCCAGCGGGTCCCACTTGAACAATTTTACGCTGAACAAAACCGACAAACCCACGCTCCGTGACATTTCTGCCTTGCGTTTAAGATGTTTTCTTTTATCATCGAGTGCAGCGATTCGAGTTCTTCCAAATTCATCAACCGCCGTCTTGCATTTCCTTCTCCGCTCCAAACGACGAAGAGCATTATGACAGAAGGAGTTTGGGTTGAGTCCACATTTCCTCAGGTTGTCTTTCAGGTTGTTCTTGTATCGCCGCACTCGGCCGCTTGCGAGACAACTTTCAATGGCCAGTGGCCAGTGTCCATAGAACATCTGTTTGTAGATTTATTTATTTTTTGAACTTACGCTTGCAATTTAAAGACATCAATAACAACTACAACAACATTAAAATTAAAAAATGGAAACACCGTTTTATTGACTCACCAAATAAGATGATATAAAAGATATTTTTTAAAAATACAAATGAAGCTAAACATTTAAATATAAAATGTACGGTAATACATTTGAATAGTACAGTTGAACAATAACAATGTTAGTGGTAGTAGTAGTAGTAGTAGTAGTAGTAGTAGTAGTAGTAGTAGTAGTAGTAGTGGTGGTGGTGGTGGTGGTGGTGGTAATAATAATAATAATAATAACAATAGCAATAGCAATGATAATATCTCGATTAATGAGCTTTAATATTTGAAATTAAACATGGCGCCACTAATTTTTGGCATCAGCCACCATGGCAACGAGACAAACAATGGTGGAAGGGGTTCGTTTAAATCCACTTGGCGCTCTAAAATAATTATTTTTAATTATTTTCATAATGTTTCAATTTTAATCATATCTATTTATTTATAAATTATTGTACTCTATTTATGAGAATTTATATTTTATAAAAATAATATGAAGTTCAATTTATTCATTTTTTAACATTTAACGTTGGTGTAGTGGCATCACAAGTCACACGAGCCACAATCGCAAATACCACATAGAGATAGACAGGCAACTAAAAAGATCCATGCATAAATGCATACATAAGGCAATAAATAAGCGAAGCAAGGAAAATTTAAAAATATTAAATATAACCTAACACCTCAGTGCGATAGAGAAACAAAATGTGCTTCTGTTCTGTATTTTTGTGTATCTATGTTTGTATGTATGTGGTTGCATGTACGTTTGTATGTGTGAGCGTGTTTGTGTAGGTAAGTTTGTTTGTATGTGTCTATGTGCATATATGTACGTATGTGTGTATGTATGTATGTATGTATGTATGTATGTATGTATGTATGTGTGTGTGTGTGTGTGTATGTGTATGTATGTATGTATGTAGGTATGTAGGTATGTATGTATGTATGTATGTATGTATGTATCTATGTGTATGTGTGTGTGTCACTTTGTTTTTTTTGTTTGTATGTGTACATAAGCATGTATGTTTATGTATGTTTATGTATGTATGTATATATATATATATGTATGTGTGTTTGTGTGTGTGTGTGTGTGTGCGCGTGCATGTTTGTTTGCATGTATGTATGTATGAATGAATGTATATTTTTCTGCATAATATCGGCATATCGATGTGTATTGTTAAAAGAGATCAAAG